CAATGTGAAGGCACACAACACCTATCCAGGGGACACTTCCAAAGGACACAAGAGGCATCCACATTCATTCCCAGCTACATGGGACCCAATAATCTCTGCAACAGTGGCAGCTGGGTGACAAATCTGCTCCGTGATTTGGATGGCTTTAGAAGAGGTATCCAAGATGCTGACTCTGGTGTCTACATCAAGGGGAGTACTAGTGCCACTCTGTTCTGCTTTGGTCAGGCCTCACCTGGAATATTGTGTCTAGTTTGGGCATCACAATTCAAAAAGGGGGATGAGAAGCTGGAGGGTGACTAAAATGGTGAAGGTTCTGGAAACCATCCCCTATGAAGAGAGACCCAGAGAGCTGGGTAGATTTAGCCTGGAGAAGAGATGGTTAAGAGGTGACATGATAGCCCTGTTTAAGTATTTGAAGGGGTGTCATATTGAAGATGGAGCAAGCTTGTTTTCTGATGCTTCAGAGAATAGGACACAGAGCAATGGATGCAAGCTACAGGAAAAGAGATTCCAGTTCAACATTAGGAAGAACTTCCTGACAGTAAGAGCTGTTCAACAGTGGAACACACTCCCTTGGAAAGTGGTGGAGTCTCCTTCCTTAGAGGTCTTTCAACAAAGGCTGGAGGGCCATAGGTCGGGGGTGCTTGGATTGTGAGTTCTTGCATGGCAGAATGGGGTTTGATAGGGTGGCCCTTGGGGTCTCTTCCAACTCTATGATTCTACGAATCTCAGGGAAAGGGCATTAGAGTTCAGCACCACAGATAACTCCTTTAAAGCCAAAACCTGGAGCAGCCCTACTGACATGGCAGCCGCTAGCCGTCACTATTGCCAAGATCTTCCGAACCCTGGAAAACCGATGCCAGACCCAATCCCTTGGTGCAGCTTTCGTCGATACTGCATGGATACAGCCAGGCTAAAGGAGATTATATATAATTAGATGCTCTCTCATTGGAATTCACTCACCATTTGCAGAACGTCGGAGGAGACCATCTGCATGCAGCACATGGCGGTTGCCAGAGCGCAGACAATCGTGGAGATGATATTGAGAGCGCACACGCTGAACAACAGGTCCTGTGGGAAGAGAGAGAGGGGAGGAAAAGAGAGGCGGAATGTCACTCCTTATCACAGCAAGACAGAGGACGGGTCCTGAAAATAATTTTAACAGATTGGGTAATAAATGCTGTCAGTGGTTATCGCCTTGACGTGGGTCTTCATTAGGACGCTCCTGTTTACCCTGCGCTGTTGCAGCCCTTTCTTGGATCCAGCGCAAGATCCCAGGTGGGAAAATACAATTGAAAATAGCATAAAAATTGCTGCAAAAGTAAAACGTTATTCCTCTGCCTGCCTGGGGGAAAAATAATAACAACAACATAGGTTTTTGTGGGTTTTTGGGGGCTGTGCAGCCGTGTTCCAGAAGAGGAGAGGCAAGTGTTCCAGACGGAGAGGTCTGCAACTTGACTTACGGGTCAAAGATTCCCCACCATTGACCTAGTGGTTAGCAAAGGCCAGCCTTCCATAACTTGTTTTCAATATATTTTATTTTATTTTATTTATATCCCACCTTTCTCCTTGAATGGGCTTCAAGGAAGCTTATAGCCATTTTAAAACACAATACAGTCACCTCTCCATTCTCGCGGTTTTGCATATTCACGGAGGGGTGATCTCTGTTGAAATCAATGGGGCATGCATCCGCAGGTGCATACCTTTGCACGGCTGTAGGAGTGTGTCCCATTCAAGCCTATGGGGCTTGAATACTGGCAAGTCTCCATTTTCGCGGGGGTGGTGTTCCGGAACGAATTCCCCGTGAAAACCGAGGAGCAACTGTACAATCAAAAGAAAGCCTTCCCCTGCAGATCTTAATCCTTAGACAGGCTCATATAGGGAAATATGCTCTTTCAGATAGTCCAGACCCCATATTAACCGGAGGCCCCACGTGCGAGAAGCAGAATCCTCAAGCGTGCTCTCTTTCAGATTTTACAGGACCGCTGGGCAAATATTTGATATATGGCATGCCAGCCAAATCCGACCCTGCGTCCCCATATCAAAAGGCGAGAGAAGCTAATTAATTGTCTCCACTCCTCAAGTTAAGTGGCACAAGAGAGAAGAAGAAGGAGAAAACATTTGGAAAATTAAAGCCATAAATAACATGTTCTGCTCATGTCCTCCTCCTTCGGCTTACACGTTTTAATTAACATCCCTCTTTTTTCTCAAGTGCTCGGAATTAAGGACACGGCGTTTGTTTTCCTCTAATCCTGAGACTGAAAAAACACGAACCGCGTTTGGGTTCAACAACGCTGCAATCCACTGTTGTTGTTTTTAAAAAGCATATACCAGTGGGAGCGTTATGCATCGGAAATAGGCGTGATCCGTGCAAAACAAGGCCAATTTCTGTAATGATGAAGTATTGGGAGGGGAAATAAAACCTAATCCCCTCCAAAACAGAAGCATGTTCTCTCTGTTGGAACATAGGTCAGCATTGCCTTTCCTGACACTTTGGTTGTTGCTGTGTGCCTTGAAGTTGTTTTCAACTTATGACGGTCCTATGGTGGTTTTGTGTTTTTATCATAGGGTTTTCTGGGCAAGATATGTCCAGAGTTAGTTTGCCATGGCCCTCCCCTGAGGCTGAGAGAGTGTGACTTGCCCAAGGTCATCCAGTGGGTTTCCATGGCTGAGCTGGGAATCGAACCCTGATCTCCAGAGTCGGAGTCCAACACTCAAACCACTAGGCCATGCTGGCTCTTTCCTCTGACATTAAACCATAGTTGAAATTGGTCTGCCTGCACCCTTTTCCATTATATTCTCTATATATTCATATTTCATATTTTCTCAGATTCCCTCATATTTTAGGAAAGGGGTGGGCAAAGTGGCAGCATGTGGTCCCTGGACCCCGTACTTTTGTGGCTCCTGGAGCCCCCCAAAGCCCCCCACAAATTTTGGCAATGTCTTTGCCCCGAAAGCATGGACCCTTCCAGTTGCATGGAAACAGACAAAAATACCCCAACCTTCCCCACAAGCACACAGGCCTTTATCCCCAAACACTCCCACTTTCTTCTGCAGTCCCTCTCAAAATGACAACAAGAAGCGATGGAAGAATACTTCTTGCCCCCATTTTGAGAAGGACTTTAGAGGAAAGTTGCGCAGAAGTTGTTGAGACTTATGCCCTTTTCTTCCCAACCTAAACATTCCTCTCCCCACTCCAAAAAATGTAATGGAAAATTAATAGCAAGTAAGAAGCACTGTAACAAATATTGCCACATGTCACTTTTCAGGGTGCATCTACACTATAGAAACAATGCGGTTTGATACCACTTAAACACGGAGCTAGCATGGTGTAGTGGTTGGAGCATCCATCAGCCACTCTTCCTGGCACTTTCTTTTATGACTCTGGGGAGCAGGGTTCAATTCCCCACTCAGCCATGAAATCCACTAGATGACGTTGGGAAAGTCGCACTCTCTCAGCCTCAGAGGATGGCAATGGCAAACCTCCTCTGAAGAAAACTACCAAGAAAACCCCATGATAAGTTTGCCTTAGGGTTGCCATAAGTCAGAAGTATCTTGAAGGCACACAACAGTTACAACCACCCCTTTAACTGCCATGGCTCCATCCAACAGAATCCTAGGATTTGTAGTTTTGTGAGGCAGAGAAAGCTAAAGACCTTGTAAAACTAGAAATCTCAGGATTCCATAGGATGGAGCTACAGCACTTAAAGTGGAATCAAAACTGCATTATTTCTGCAGCACAGCGTACCACATAACAGGAATAAACTACTTTGAGACTTTTAGCATTGCAACAAGTAACAGAAAGAAATTGCTTTTTTAAGAAAGCAACTGTCCAAGGTCTGGTCATACTGAAATATGACCCAGACATTTTTCCCCCTTGAGAAATAGACATGGCAGGCTGTTATTTCTTTCTCCCCCGGAGTCTTCTCTCTCCTCTCCATCAGCCACTCTTGATGACATTTTCTTTTTGCAAGGGGATTGCTGGGCAGACTAGACCTCCCAAATGGCAACACGCAGGTGCTACAATTAATCCCGGGGTCAAGTGCTGCTTCCCAAAGCATCTCTCTGTGGCAGATTTGTGGCCTTAGGAAAGATTGCCACCCGAAATCCAAGAGGCTTTTGAAAAGCAGAGCACAGGCATAATTCTTCATAGGAGGAGGAAATCCCAGGGCAAAGATATCGATCAGGCTGTGATTCCCCATAAATCTACCTTTTAAAAATAAATCAAGTGAGCAGGATGAAAAGAAGGGACTGAGGAGATGTGCTTTGAGCAAATGGAAGACAGTTACGCGGTGACATAAGGCTCACAATCTAGCCATCACTTGATTCCAGCCTTTATATCTCAACAGACCCTATCCATACACCCTGCTTTAGCTTCTTCTTTTCTAATATACAACACAGAGTTAAAACATGCAGTTTTGTGAACGACAAATCCTGAGATTTGGAATTCCTTGCAAACCTGTGCCAAAGTTTTGCAATTGTTTTGCAATGTTTTGCAACACACACACCTCAAATAAGCAAAAATCTCCATCAATCCCCATTCACCCTCTGGTTTAAGGAACCCCCAAACAACGGATTCTCTGAGCAATGAGTTTGCACTCATTTGTGAATCTGCCAAAGATTCCCCAATTCCTTTTCATCCCAGCTAATTCATTTCATCCCCCCAATAAGGCTACTCCTGTCCTACCACTATTCTCTCTTGGCTGCCTTTTTGCACAACTTGCTCCCTGAAATTGCTGGGCTCTGCTCCCCTTCTTTCTTGACTGCCTGCCTCCTCCGATTCCCCAATTCCTGACTATTGCAGAAAGGCAATGCATAGAGACAATGCATATTTGCAAATGATGTTGTTGTATGCTTTCAAGTCATTTCCAGCTCATGGTGGTCCTAAGGCAAACCTATCATGGGGTCTTCTTGGCAAGATTTCTTCAGAGGAGGTTTTTGCCATTGCCTTCCCCTGAGGCTGAGAGTGTGTAACTTGACCAAGGTCACCCAATAGGTATCATGACCGAGAGGGGAATCAAACCCTGATCTCCAGAGTTGTAGTCCAACACTCAACCCACTATGCCACAATGACTCTACTCTGTGTAATTTAATGTACACAGAGAGACACTTTGGGTCCCATACTGGGAGACAGGATACAAAATAAACATAAATAAATAAATATGGTACTGCATGTGCAACAGTTCCACACCTGCAATATCAATTATGCCACCTTCAGCTGGATACAACCATTGCACATTGTTTTAAAATAAAAAATCCACATGAATAGCACACCTATCTGTGTCACGAAGAGGATGCCAAACATTGGCAGTTTTCAAAATGCACCAAATGTACACATTTTAAAACAACTCCTGGTTCTGCACCTCTTCCATTTGTTTCCTGGCTCACTCAGGCCCATCACGTCTTGCCACGTCTCTGAAAATGTCACTCGGTGGAATTCCCAAATTGTCCCGTCCGTCTCGTCTGAGATCGTTCCCAAATGTGAGGACTCGGAGTAGACAGCGTCCGAATGGAAATCCACCATAAAGGAAGCTCAAGTTAGCGTGTGGCTTGGAGAGGTGGAACGTTTCAGCAATAAACATGCTACTCTATGTGCAACAGTTCCACATGTGCAATTTCAATTATGCCCCTTTCAGATGGATGCAACCATTGCACATTGTGCAACCACTGCACAAAGGCTTTGCTATGCTAAGATTTGGGGAGGAGGGAGTCATGATACTTGAAATGTATTTTGGAGCCCTGAAACTTTCGTCACGTTTTCCTGCCTGCTTGTGCTCCACTGCGCGCTGCCTGCAGTTAATCCAAATCCAATCACTCAATAACAACTTCTCTGCAGAAGAAAAAACCCAAAACAATTGACAGCTTAATACTGAGTGTGCCGTTCTTTCACGGTCCTTAAACCCGGCCCTGTTTATAACACATGCGTGAACATGCCCAGCATGCCAGCTTCCTGAGACATCATGCATTTGAGTCTCATCACTCAAAACATGTTTACTTCTCTTCAAAAGCAATTCCTTTTCAGACTTCCGTGGAGGAACAGCCTCTATAATCTTGGAAAATTACAGTAATTTGAAAACTCTTCTGACAACGTTGCTTAGCAAGTACTGATGGGGAGGGGAGGAATACAGATGCCCAAATGATAATTACTCAAGAAACACATTTATAGCCAAAGGCTAACTGATAGATTAAAACCACAGGTCCCTAATTTTGGACGGCGAATGTGAAACACGCACAGACACACATTGCAAGTTGGACATTTGTGTTTCTTGCTTGCAAAGAAAAAGTCGTGATCTTTCTGCAAATTGCTTTGATTCCTATGTTTACCTGGGAGCTTCCCCACTTCACAATTTCTTTCTCATTTCACAAACTAGAAATGCCAAGAATTCCATAGAAGAAAGCTGAATATAATTCTACTTAGGGGAAAAAAGGGTCTGGGACTTTCATTGCCCTCCTCATTAGATACTTCTCTCCTTTCTATGGGAGAAATAAAGAACTTCAGAAATACTTCAGAGTACTTCAGTACTTCAGAAATAAGTACTTCGGAAACTTCAGAAATAAAATACAGTTGGGCCTCCATATCCACAGGTTATTTATCCATGGATTCAACCATCCATGGCTTTAAAATATGCCCAAAAGATATTAATTCCAAAACCAAACCAACCTTGATTTTGCCATTTTATATAAGGGACACCATTTCACTACACCACTCTATTTAATGCGCCTTGAGCGTCCATGGATCTTGGGATCCAGAGGGGGTCCTCCAACCAAACCCCAACAGATACCAAGGGCCCACTGTACTACAACTCCCTGAATTCCTTAGCAGCGACAGGACATTATCTGGCTTTAACTGACATGGCTCCATCCTGTGGAATCCTGGGATCTGTAGTTTGGGTGAAAGTACTCAGAATCCTCAGTTGAGAGCTCTAGTGCCTTGCCAAACTATCATCCCCCAAGATTCAATAGGATGCAGTCATAGTGGTCAAAGTGGAATCACGTTGTTGTTTGTACGTGCCTTCAACTCATTTCTGATATATGGAGACCCTAAGGCGAACCAATCACAGGGTTTTCTTGGTAATTTCTTCAGAGGAGGCTTGTCGTTGCCATCTTCTGAGGCTGAGAAAGTGTGACCTGCCCAGGGTCACCCAGTGGGTTTCATGGCTGAATGGGCATCCGAAGGGATCCACCCCATTAATCCCTCTGCCTGACCCAAAGAAAAGCCTTTAAATTTAACTGACATGGCTCCATCTTGTAGAAACCTGGGATTTGGAATCTGGAGAAGTGGTACTTAGAATCCTCCACCAGAGAGCTCTAGTGCCTCACCAAACTATCAACCCCAGGATTCAACAGGATGCAGCCATGGCAGTTAAAATGGAATCATAGTGCTATATTTTTGTCTAGCGTGAAAGGGATCCACTCCCGATTGATCCTTCAGACTGACCCAAAGAAAAGCTGCTGCCTTTATCTGACACTGCTCCATCCTGTGGAAACTTGGGATTTGTAGTCTGGAGAGGTGACACTTAGAATCCTCAGCTGGAAAGCTCTAGTGCCACGTCAAACTATCAACCGCAGGATTCAACAGGATGCAGCCATGGCAGTTAAAATGGAATCATAGTGCTATATTTTTGTTTAGTGCAAAAGGGATCCACTCCTGAATTTATCGCCCAGGCGGACTCAAAGAAAAGTTGCTGCCTGACGCACCCAGAGGGGATTCCAGCCAGTTTCTGGACGGATTGGATCCCTGGCTCTTCTACCAGGCTCTTCCAATCCCCTTGAATATTGAGACATCCAAAATGGGAAAGGGCAGGAGCAACACTTGTAGCTATCCAAGGGTTGCCTTGTAACTAATAACCTTAAAAGCAATGGCCTGACACTGATACGAGGCTAGATCCAAAAACAAGTCCTGTTTGGCCATGCCATAAAGACAATGTCTTTTCCCCTTGGTTGCCTTCAATTACAGAGCTTCATTGCCTATATACCCACAATCACCTGGAAAGAGATAATGAGCAGTAAAGGCTTTTCACCCATGAAATTGCTCTCTCTCCGTACTCTTTTTACTCGGGAAATTCAAGGACAGGCTGGCTTTAATATTGTTGTTTTAGATTACCGGTGACAATGGGCCCCATTGGCCAAAGAAAGCAAAGCTGCAGCCTTATCAGGGTCCTTGGAGGGCATTTGGCACAGAAACACAACTTGGGATGCATCTACACTGCAAAATTAATGCAGTTTGACACTGATCTAAGTGCTGCGGCTCAGTGCTATGGAATGGTCCGACTCAGAGTTTTGTCAGACATTTTGCCTCCTTTGTCAGAGAGCTCTAGTAGCATAACAAACTACAAATCCTAGGATTCTATAGCACTGATCCAGGGCAGTTAAAGCAATGTCAAACTGCATTCATTCTGTAGTGTAGATGCACACCCGGCGGTAAGATGACCAGCTTGGAAACCTGGAGCCTTTCTGTGGCCCCTGAATTGCTCCGGGAGACTTCTGAAGCCATAGACCATACTTTCCAAATAAAGACCAAGACATAAAGTTTTAGTACCACTGCCTTGTACACATAAGCTGTAAGTAATGCTATACACAACACACTTAATAATTTTGTGCATGAAACAAAGTTTGTATACATTAAATATCAGGAAGCAAAGGTGTCACTATGGCTACTGCCATGCTGCAGAATTAATGCAGTTTAGCACCGTTTTAAGTGTCATGGCTCCATGCTGTGCAATCCTGAGATTTGTAGTTTGTTCTGGCACCAGGGCTCTCTGGCTGAGAAGGCTAGATATCTCACAAAACTACATATTCCAGGATTTTATAGCACTGAGCCACAGCAGTTAAAGCAGTGTCAAAATGCATTAATTCTGCAGCGTAGATGCAGTGTAGATGGAAAGAATATTTGAAAATAGTCAAAGAATTGTTTTTCAAACACTGAGAAACCCTGATGAAAAGAATCCTGGATTGACAAGATACTTCACACTTCAGGACGTATTCTGTGCAAAATTCGTGCATGACAGATTTGCATAGGAAACACCCTTTTCTGTGCGGCAATATTATTTTGGGCATGGGGAAAGATGTTTCCTGTTCAGGAAATTTTGGAATTAAGGAATTAATTCTGCACAAAATTCACACGTGGTTGATTTGCAGAGAAAACAGCATTTTCTGCACAGGGAACAACATTTTCTATGCAGAATCCTCTTGCACAAAATAACATTTCTGTGCAAAAATGCTATTTTCTGGGCAACTCCCCCCCCCCAAAAAAAACACTGTTTCCTGAACAGAAAATGCAGTTGGCTATACAAAACAACTACATGTGAATTTTGTAGAAAATAAACCCCAAATTGCGAATAGGCTTCAAAAATCGGCATGGCTTTTAAAGACTTTCTTGCAGTCTTTGAAAATTGCAAACATTACTTGTTGCTTTCTTTGAGAAGAAACTCAGTGAAGAATTACATCCTTACCTTGCACACACAAGGAGACACACATGTTTGTTTGTTTTTCCTTTTCCTTGCTAGCATAGCTTTTCATCATTTACTAGATACTTTATCCCTGGTTTCCAAAAAGTTGCCTGCATTGATAGGGGGAGAAAATCTGTACTTCTGAATTAAGGCACTTATCTTGCTTAATATGCAGGATCCTCTCATAATCTAATCTTGATGCAATGCTTTTGTCATTTCTCCAAGGGGCACTTTACTTTTAATAAAACGGTTCAACCAGGAAAAAGGAATTTTTAAGAAAAATACACACATACACTTTTAGCTTAGGCCTTAATGATGCCAGAGGAATCTCTTAGGAGCGACAAAGTCAACATGTGAGTTGGCTTTTCTTTTTTAAAAATGACTTCAAGGCAACAAACATATGTTGACTGTATTTTTAAATAAATGTCAGAGCGGACAGGAAAGCATTTATCACATTGCATCAGGTAGGATGTGAAAGCTTTGTTGCAACAAGAGAAAACATAAAGGGCATAACCTAATCTCTAATCTCAGATTTGTTGGAAATCTGGAACTTCCTTCCTGGGAAGACTAGGCTTGCAATCCTCTTTAGTGGCCTTCCATTGCAAAGTGAAGACTTTATGATTCC